ATCATTTTTTGTAGCAGAAGTCCATGCAGGTGAATCATAAACTAAAAATGGTCTGATGATGGAGGTGTAAATGAGGCGTTTTTTCCTATGATCCATACTTGAGCGTTTTCTAACAAGGAGAATTAGACTATTGATAACCCTGTTTGCTTTATTTTTAATTTTGTGAATATGATAATTCCATTTTAATTTAGAATTAAAAGTAATAACCAAATATTTGGCAGTCTTAACTAAAGGAACAGTTTCTTTGAAAAGAGTAAGGTGACGAGTAGGCATACTCTGGGCTTTTTCCCTTCTAATCAGCAACGTCAATACACGTCAAATCTCTTATCAGTGCTATCACATGATGAACAACTTCAGCAATCCAAAATTTGCAAACTCACAATACGTCTTACTGTATTCTGCAATTATGCAAATTTCCACGTTTTCTTGCCTTCCATTTTGTGGCTGCCATTGCTGCTACTGTTATCCGTCCTTGGCAAATGTCCACCAGTATATTACTGCAGCACATCTCAGAAATGTCATAATTTCTTATAAATTCTGTATTTTAAAAATGCTTTACTTTAAAACTTCATTTTAAAATTGAACGATCGTTAAATTTAGTTTAATCGATCTGCGAAATCTCTACTTTCAATGCAGCTATATTAGTTTCTCAATTAAACAATCCTAGTTGGCTGGTTGAATTAAGTAAGAGTGAGTCAGATTACTGGCACAAAACCAGAGATGATTATAACATGCCAAACGCGAGGTAGTATGATCTGATTTGATGTATTCAAAGCAAATTATTAATAAATAGAACAGGAACGTAGACGAAATGTTCCAAATCCAGAGGATGGAGTCATATTAAAACAAGGTATTTTAATGTTTAACACAAGTGTTAAACATTAAAATACAATACACAATCTTCAAATCAGATTATATAAGGTAATAAAAGCCAGTCTCTTTAAAATGATAAAATAAATTACAATTTACTTCTCTTCTGATTAAACTACCATATAGTTGCCTTGAACTAAAAAGCATCAGCTTTGTATAAAAACTTTATTGATATTCTAAATATGAACAACTGTTGCCATTCACACAAACTCAATAGTAAAATAAAGCATGTTGCCAGTAACAAGATTATTGTAAAAATCATATAAATTTAACAGTGCGAAAATAAATAAGGCAAAGAAAGAAGAAATGCAAATATTAAATATACATCCAACATTAACTCCCACCCTTGCCAATGATTGCATTAACAATAGATTATTTCCAATGCAATTGCAATGGTAAAAGTAGGTTTTAAGGAAATTGTTTTAGTTTTCTTATTTCATCCACAGATTTCTTTCCAGTCATTCTTATCTTATCACTATATTCTATCTCGGTCATTTGCACTTAAGAGAGGTAAAGAAGGTGGTTCTGTATTTAAAACCATTGAAACTAGTCCTGCAAAATTTACAAACATTGTGCTGATTTTTGTTGTTTAATTTCTCCAATAATCATTATTTGGATTGTTATTTTAACCTAACCTAATAAATCAGTAAGTAAACTAATGAATTATATCATGGCTATCAATATTCAGACATGAAAAACCGGGAAGTTTTCAGGTGCAAACTGTCAGGCAACTTCAAAAGGTCTCCAAATTGACAAATCTGTCTTAAAACATCACTCAAATTAGTAAACTAGTTATAATATAGCTATCAAGCTTAAAATCTGATCAATTCCTCTAAATATTTATTTTACTTTTATGTGTTTTTTGCCAATTTCATTTGATGCTGATGAAAACTCAAGTTAGAAAGAAAAGTTTCATTTACCAAAATGCTTTTAAACACAGTAAAAACATAATTAGTTATCACAGCTACCAACCTTGCAATCTGAAAAAACAGAAGAGTTTCGTACAAAAACCAGGTCTTCACACTGCCCCACACAACAGTTTTAAGAGAATGACAAATTGAATAAAATTAACTTTACAATGTATAATTCAGGTTATTTAACTATTTATAATGCGATTCTGATGCAAACATATAAGTATGTATTTAGCAACTCTTAAATCTTATATGCTTTGCCTAATTTTACTTCATTTTGTACTTTTCTTGAACTGACAAAATCCTGAGTAGGAAGCAACAGCTTTGACATATTTGCCAACATCTGACACTCAAAAAATCAGTAGAATTTTCTCAACGACAAAGAGATTTTTAAAAATAATTAAAATATATAGAAAAAATCTATTTTTTTAATAATGAATAAACTTTTAAATAATAACTAATTAATACTTGAAAGTTCAGTTACTAAATCTTAAATGCAAATAATTTTAAAATACTTAAATGTAAAAAAAAAAAAAAAAAAAAAAAAAAAAAAAAAAAAAAAAACATTATTTGTACCTTTTAATAGAAAAATACTATAATCATTAAATAATACTACTTTATCAAGATCACTAGCAAAACATAAATTAATAGAATTCTGCACACTAGAACTATGTTAAGAACATCGAATAATAGCAATTGTTTGCTATTATTTGAGGAGATTTTTCTTCACGAAATAAACTTGCAATAATCGGAAAGTGTATCCATTAGCTAGCACTCTTTTTTTTTCAGGGGGGGGGGACTTTGTTTTGTTATGGGACAAATCGAAGCTTTGTTTAGAGCTTTACGCTTATATTTTATACTTTTATTTTGAGAACTCCCAATTTACTTGCTCATATGTGCAGAAACAAGTTCATTTTTACCAGTGGAAGTACCGAATACGTCTCCCTTTACGCATTTCTTTCTTTCTTAAAAATGTCAAACATGGGTTCCATTGTTTGAGGGTTCTAGATAAAACTTTCTCTAAAATAACCAGCATATACAAACATTTCAGATTATTTTTTTTTTTCTTATTTCAGTATTATGCAGCTGTTGCAATTGCTTCAATTTTTTTCCTTCTTTTTAGAGGCCCACCAGCGGCCAAGCGGTAAAGTCGCTGAACACTGGTAGTTCGGTCTGAGGTTTGAATCCCGCGAACGGGCTGGCTGCAAGGGCGTTTTCGTGGTTTCCATGTCTAACGTGTATACGAGCCAGCTTCCCTTAGAAAGTCCTCCACGAAGGCATCCCTCCCCTTAGGCAGATAGCCCTTGAGGCTTTGCCTAATCACACACACACCTTTTTAGAAATCTTTTCAAGATATTAATAAATATCAACAATGTGTTCTTTCTACCTTTCTTTATGTATTGTCGCACTAAGTGCTAAGCAGTTATCCAGGAGAATTTCATTTTCTTTTAAAGTTTTAATAATTAGTTGTGCTATGTATTAAAACCTGTCAAATCTCTTAAAGTGGTGACAGAAATTAAACTATACTCATTTCTGAATATGCTGCATTAAAAAAATATAATAGTTTTGTATTAGTATTATTATTTCCATCCATACAGAGGCAGAATGGAACTGTTTTAATGTAATCAATAACTGAAGATTATTTTTCATATCCTTTTCTCCTAAACGGCAGCCGCTTTTGTCCTTGCACTTGAGTATTTTTTAACGATTTCATTGTTGGGAAACATTTTTATAAATAAAGCTGCAACATGATCTGATGGATTCAGTGGCAGGTTGTACTCTAATAAAAAGGCAGAGACCAGGCTTTCTGCATTAATAACTTTTTTGGTGCTGTTTGTTTTGTTCCATGTTGTAAATTGGGTTGGCAGGAATATGGTCAGAAATCAGGAGTTTCCCGTCTAAATCAGGAGTGTTGGCAACTCTGCTTTTACTTATCAAAGTGCTCTTCAATTTGATGGAAATGAAATTAATAACTAATGCCAGATGAAAATGAATTAGTTAAAAACTAACTACAAAATTAAAACAATATGGCACATGTGGATAAAAATGAAGCAAAAAATAATAATAAAAACAAAGATGTGTCAGTAGTGGGGAAATAAAAAGCTAAAACTTAAAAAAAGATAGATTCAGCAGCTATCAGTTATGTGCATAAAGTTTCCTAATGCAAATTTCTAACCGACAGACTGAATACTAAAAAAGAGAGAGAGAGTATAAAAGCATTCACTTCAAATTACCATTTGTTGGAATGTTAAACTTCAAAATGAAATTAAGGTTCTGCACAACCACTGAACTCTAGTTCGAAATGTTTTTTTTTTTCTTCGAGTGCAAGGCAAAGCATGGGTGTTTCTGTAATTTTCTCCATGCATAACAAGACTACAAGCCAGTTTTCTTTTGAAAATCTTCTACATAGGCATTCTTGTGTGCTTGTACTGTAAAAAATCAAAGAAATGCCATTCAACTTTGCTGATCTACTTTTCTTTGCATGAAAAAAATTATAATACTTCATTTGACAGTTTTAATAGAATTAAAATAAAGCTCAAGCTGCACCTTTGCTGGTAGAGAATCTATAAATATCATAATTTTTGGGGGGATGTGTTGTATGACAAAACTAGCATTGCCAGAATGTATAATCTTACTTGGTTTACTTAAATTAAAACCATGAGTTAAACCATCATTCAAGAGATATCTAATCAAACAATTTTTTGAGACAATTCAAATGTACATTTGTGGATGACACTTGACAAAAGCATTAAAGGAATTTAGTAACATATCGGAATGCAATTATATGCCCTGAACTAACATTTTTCAATTAAAAAACTAACATGATGTGTTTTGCTTAGATCTGATACTTCACTTCCTTATATTATAAGCCATGGAACAAAATCTGGATATTAAAGATTAAGAAATATTTTTATTTAGTCAAAGCGCAGCACTTGCATAGTTCTGTTAATGAAACTAACACATATTTAAATCATTACATAACTAATGAAGTTCAGAACATTTTATTTAAATCTTTAAGAAAAATACATCATGTGAAATGGGTACATACAAAGCTTGAAAATAAGGGAGGTAAGACAATATGAAAATACAAACCTGCATAAACTTTGGCATTAAAAACAGTTGCAAATACAATATCACAGATGCATTTTAACATTTGCTTTATTTATTTTAATTTTCATAAAAAAATCCTTCTCTTTTCCTAATACTTTAAGATTAAAATTTTTTTCACTCGGGTGAATAAAAATATTGCTTAACACGTATATAACTGACAAATACAGCTCAGATGTATATGCAAATTAAGTAAACAAGAAGGTGTTTAATGCTATACTTCAAAATAAGTAATTTGTATATATAAGCATGCATCCAAAACCATTTCTCAATATGAAATACAAATAAAGCTTTTTGAATTCTTTTTAATAAAATGACAGTGTTTTACAAACACAGCTATTTTTAATTTTTCAAGTACGTTACTTTTGAGGCAGTTGGCTCTCAATTGCATTGCCTTTACATTTCCTACTTATACCTACAAAAGTCTGATATTGTGGTGTTACATATATTTAAGCCAAGTTTCTTCCAAATTGCCTTTAAATACTCTTCCCCTGCTATAATTATTTAACAAATCATTTATTCCGTCATATAGAATATAGTCTAAAAGCCATTAATGGAATAAAATCTAATTTTCTCATTTAAAAAGAATCATATGAATTACTAAAATTTTATAAATAATACTTTTAAATAATAATAATGAAATGAAGGGTTAATTATAACATTTTTTGTGAAAATGAGCTTTATTTCATAATGAAAAATAAATAACTTTTGTTGCCCTTTTTAATTATTTATTACCCAGTTATTTAATCCCAATCTGAAATCACAGCCTAATTCCATTATTGAACTTTATTTTTTTGTGTGTATATTAAAAAAATATGAATTTTTCACATTAAAGATCATGGAGATTTAGTGTAGTAGTGCTCATACAAGTTATCTTTCATAAATCTAACTTTACTTAATTAAAAAAAAAAAAATACATTAAAGAAAATTTATCATGGCTTATTGTTTATCATCAATAGGTAGTACTGCAGACTCAAACTGGCAAAACATGCTTTTTTATTATTATTATTATTATTTCAGATCAGAAAACAGGCAAACTATTTTACTATGTAAAAGAAAGTACAAACTTAAAATTGACAAGTTTGCATTTTAATTCTTAAAATTAACATATAACAGAATACTGTTTACATGAACTAAAGAAGGCAGTTATTTCAGGCATCCTGCAGGAGGAACTATGTTCATCAGTTAAAGATCCAACAGTTAAAAATGTAACTTTTCTCGCAATTCCAGATAAATGTTTTTTTCCCTTACACACAGAAAAAAAAAGGGGGGAGTTTATTGAATACAAAGTTACAAAATGTGGATGGAAAAAAAATAAATTAAATACTGTATTATTATATTAATACACATATGTAAGATTATATTAATACAATATTAAATACATCTGTAATAAAGAAATTTCATTACAGATGAAAACATTCTAATACCAAATATAATAAAAATTAACCTGTAAAACTGTAAGGCTACAAAATTTAAATGATTTTCCTCATTAAAAGATTTAAAACGGGTTTACTAAAAGTTTGACTTTCTGCAAACCAAGCTTTAAGTTTTACATAAGACAGCCACCACCTTTGGAATTTGGAGATGACTGCTTACCAGTATTTCAATTTAATGAAATTAAATTGAGTTTTATAAAATTCTTGGATGATGTGAGAGAAATGTATGCAATATGGAAGCAACAATAAGGAAAAATAGCCTAAAACTGGTTTGAAAAGACATTAGTCTGAAGATTTAAAGTTTTTTTACATTGCTTTAGGGGCAACTTTTGAGCAAATAAAAAGGTGAATAAACTAACAAATGAAGAGTCAAAGGACACTAAAGCTAAACTGGACTAAAGAACACTTGTTAAATTAAATCATGATCAAGTTCATGAGGGATACTGCAATAAATAATTTTTTTAATCAAATGTTATACACACTTCTACAATTAAGGCCTGAAAGTAATGATTGTCATTTTTTAAAAAAAAGTGCTACTTAAAAGGCCTAGGCTTCAAATACTTCAGTAAATAGAGTTAGTTCCCCTGCATTTCATTTTTCTGGGGGTGGGGGACATTACGATATTGCTTTGAATAAATATTTTGCTAAATTATAATCCCGGATTCAATATGTTTATAAATGCTAAATTTCAAAATAATGATAAAACAGCAATAAAAAATAAAGAACTCATATTTTCAGGCTTTCCATAAACATGCATATATGATTAAGATACAATAACATGCCGAACAAATATTCATTTAGAAGTCAAACAACAAAAATCAACGTTATATTTTCAAATTTTCACAGGACTAGTTTCAATGGTTTTTGCGCTTTTGCAGCTGAGGATGATTCGGTCATACCAGTCTAGTCTTGTAATAATTTGAAAATATAACGTTTTTTGTTGTTTGACTTCTAAATTAATGCATATATTAACAAGTGACAACTCCAAAATTATTTTTTAAAGACTTAAATTTTAGTTTGCTTTAAAATATCCCCATGCATTTTTTTAGCGATATAATAAATACTTTCCTACTGTTGAAAACATTTTATGAAATCTTCAACAGAATGTTTTAAAGAACTGCTAGCAATTTCTTTGAACCTCTGCAGAAGCTGTTGCTTTATCCAAATAATGCACTATAGATCAGGCAATTTAAGAAAGAACTAGAAAAACAAAACTACTAAATGTACATTATTGTGCTTTAGGTATTTTTATGATGCCAAAACCAATTTTAAGACAACAATCCAAAACAATTTTGAGACTAATTTTTTTCAATATTTTCACCAGCCGATCAATGTTGATGCCTTAAACTAACATATATAAAATGATTGGACTATTTAAATTTACATTTTACCCATGGCTTTAAGCTTCCATGAACAAGTTTAGCTGCCATTTTCCCCAATACACTAATAATAATAATAATAATAATAAAAACCTTTTTTAAAAGATTACTGTTCTGAAAAAGAAAGGTAAACAATTATAGCACTTTGGGGGAAAAAGTTGCCTGAAATATGGCAATATATATATATATGAATATCATGCTGTACATAAGTTCACAGAAATCCAAGCTTATGAAATATGAAAAAACTCCAAACTATACAGTTTGCATGAGAGATCCATACTTTGAAATTTTGGATCATTCACTTGTATGGAAAGGCGATTAACACGGCATTAATAAAAGAATGTTAATTTTGTTACATAAATTTTGTCAGGCTGCTGGGGAATAAAAGGTGAAATTTTCACCCCCCCCAAAAAAAAAACATTTTAACTGATACTTTTGCAGCTAAAAAATTACACTATCCCTCTTTTTCTCCTAAACAATTCTACAAAATACAAAGCAGTTTCATACAGAATTATTACAGCATTAAGTAAGCATTAAAACTTTTTTTGTAAATTAGTTTTTATAAACCAAACCATTTCTGGCAATACAATCAATTTAAGCAGATGACATTTTAATGCATTCTAGTTTACATGCACAAATTTTCTTTATTAAGCAGCATGTTAAAAAAAAATCATTTGGCATTAAAATTGCTTTGATACTGACTGACAGCACAGTACATCTTTATGCAAATTTTAAGATTGCTTTTTGCATAATCAAGAAGTGTAGCAGAATCAAAAAAAAAGCTCTGTTACAGATTCTGGAACAGGAAAACTTGTTATGTATTTTCTCCTAAATTCTGGTAAAAGGTAGTGTTAAAATCATTAAAATATGGAAAATAATGGGAAAATTAAAAAAAGAAAAGAAAGAAAAAGAAAACTGTAATTTCCAGATTTATTTGACATCTGTAGAAAATTTAAAAATCATGAAATCTCAGAAAATCCTTAGAACTGGACAAAATAATCCTGAAAATTTGTGCTGTAATAAAGTTATTAATTTACACTTGGATATTTAGTAAAGATATTGTATTTAATGCCCAGAGGACTCAGGTAGAGAGATACAAATTTGCCAATTTATCTTTTTGAGTAGATATTACATTGTTTCATACTCTTCAAATTTCTCTCAACAGATCTCATAATTTATTTAAAATTAGAATAATACAATGATTTAAAATGATGTTTGGCCTTTGCTTAAAAACAAAATTGAAATATGTAATTCTCAAACATTCTATTAAACACAATGGAAGAGCAGATTGAATTACCATTATATTATTGCAAAGATATTCACTATAATAAACAGTCTTCAAGTTATTTCTCTTTTTATACTTAATGCTTCTTTTTAATCAAATTTTTACAGGAATGAGACTTTTGCAACATTTAGAATTTCATTTTAACATTTACATCAAAAAGAACAGCAGATGTAATCATCTACAATAATTTGGTCTACCAGAACCCCATTAACATTCTTGCACGCTTAATTATTAATGAAATTCAGCAGCAATAAAGGTTAAAAAGGGATATTATTTATTCTGAAAGCAGCTGAAGAGATACTGCCAAAAGAAAATGTAGCATTATGCATGCTTGGTCAAAATAGTAAATTAAAATGCCTCTAGCTCTACCTGAAAAATGCATTAATGCCATATCAATCACTCTTAACTTTAATAAACAAAAAACAAAAAAACAAAAACAAAAAAGTTCCGATGCTTATAAAGAAAGGATACTGATGATAATGAATATGTATATCAGAAAGCAAAAATAACCATTAACATTAAAGAATTTTAATTTATGACATGGCAGAGTAATAAACAAATGGCAAGTATGTTCCCATCAAGCAGACTTATTTCTGAAAGGGACTGAAAAATACCACACTGTATCTGAACCCAGAATTATTCCAATACTAGACTGAGCTTTTCTAACAGTACCTCATCAAATGCAAGCTCTCAAATTTTAACATTTCTGACACTTGATGCATGTAACCACGTACTGCTATGCATCTATTACTCAAGTCCAGCCATCGAATTAACATGAATATTTCTAGTTCTGACATTTGCAACTTCCAAAATTTATGTTTATAAATCAAAGTCCTCCAATAACAGATCTATAACATCATTTAAAGTCCTCCAGTAACAGATCAATAACAGCACGTAGCTTTGAAGAATCGGCCATCTCTTTAAATTTATATAAAGTGAGGCGAAAAAATCCTTTTCTAAAATATGCACGTGCTACTGTATCACAACTGCAAATAGTTCCAATTGCAACTAAAGCACGAAACACAGCTTCTGTATCGATCAAAGCATTTAACATTTCCACCATATTCAGACAATATGAATTAATATCAATTTGCTTTCCATAAAATGCTAAAACAGAATAATTTAAAAACAATGCTGTCCCAGATTTCTGAACATTTCTATCAGTTGAACAAACAGTGGATTTAACAGAATCATAAATTTTAACTTGAGATTGCAGAAGTACCTTCTCCCCTTCTTCAAATTCAAATAAGTTGCAAAATATTTTTATGACCAGAAGCCTATTCACACTTTTGTTTGATGTTTTCAAAATATGCAAGAGATGATTAACAAATTCTTGGTTTCCAACTCTTGAGCAAATTCCTTTACATCTTACAGCTAAGCGAAGCAAATCCAGAGCAGGATATACATATTCTGAAATAAAGATACAAATGCAACTGATTATTATTTAGATTTGTAAAATGAGAAAAGGAAGTAAACTTTTATATCAAAAAATTCAGAAATACATGTAACACTACAAATGACCATATGCATAAAAATCTAAAGATGCATTTACAAATGAGAGTTGTAATGAATCAAAAATTAAAAAATATCAAATTACTTCTTTATAGTAAATAACACTAAATATTTTAACAATAATTGTGAACTATCAACAACAAATATACAAAACTTATCTATACAAAATAAAACAGAACATATAACATTAAAAATAAAAGCATGAGCTTTTGAAAATTGACATTCAATATAGAGTTGGCACTTTTAAGCTACTTTAAAGAACTTGAAAGCTCTTCCTCGTTTTCAATATCACGTAAACACTTATTTTGAACTGCAGTTAATTATCAAAAACTGGAAAATGTGGCACTGTAAAGTATATACTAACCTCCACAGCCAGACTTAACTAAATATAAGCTAGTAACATGCAAACATCTGGGGCTTCCTGAAAGCCTATCACAACCAATAAAAATACATACAATGCAAAACTCTTAAGTCTTTTTTATCATGGATACATTGTTGATATTAGACAAATTACTATTTTCACTGATGCAGTAAGCCTATAATTCTCAGAAGCAACAGTTGTCCACCATGGATATATTTGTAATAATAAAATTACACAGTCAAGATTACACTTAAATTTCTAACTGTATGTTCTTTTCATTTTTAATGGCGATGTTCTCTTATTTGAAAGTACGTGGAATTGAATCTACAGCCCCGTAGTCAAGTTGTTTTTCCCGCCTTTTCTACACGTACAGTTTTAGAATGTTCTGGAGATATTTAAAGCGAACTGGATTGGCTGACGAGGCTGACGTCATTTTTTGGAAGCTCCGCCTTTCCAGAGGCTATAAGAAGACTCGCAAAAGGAATATCGGGGCTTTTTCTTAAATGTCACGATGCAGTAAACTTCATACAAAAAGTTATTAGTAATTCTTTTTATTTACTCTGGATATCTGATTTTTGTAACTGCTATTTCTCCTGAATAATAATAAATGGATCCTGTTTTTTAAAACTATCGTCTGATTATTTAAGCTACGACTAAAGCTGATACATCATACATATATATATATATATGAACAACAGATCTATAAAAACCATGGAGAAAATGGGGACCACTCATATTTCAGTCATTTCATTTGTTTTCATGTAAAGCCTTCTGAAGTTAATTGACATATATTTGTTACATATGAGAAAAAGTATGATGACACCCTTGCAGCCAGCCTGTTTGCTGGGATTCAAACCCAGTTCGAATTACCAATGTTCAGTGGTCTTATCCACTAAGCCATTGGTGAGGCCCATATACTATAGACAGAGCTTCCATTTACATGGCCTTGAATTTGGCTTTGACAAAGTCAGGCTAAACAATGCATTTGGGGGGAGGAAACAATATTAAAACTATCAAATGAGTATTAAAAGAACAGACACTCCCCCCAAAAAAAATCTAACAGGAAAGAAGTCAAAACCAAAAACAGAAAATGAATATGTATTTACATGGCACATCATAATCATGAACAGCACAAGAAAATTCATAGTTTTGCAAAATTTGAAATTTGCCTTTGTTGAGTATGATCCGAATATGGAAAGAAGCTTAAAATTTGGAAGGAAAATGCATAATTGCTTGGCATCACATCAGGAAATTTATAAAGAGCTGAGATTTAAAACAGTTTTCTTTGCAGATTTTAGTAAAACATACTTTGCTACAGCTCAGGGAGATGAATTAGGGGAGGGGAAACCCAGAAATTGAAAAAATTAGCACAGTGAAGCTTATACCATCACGAAAACAAAAAGGACTGCTGTGTTCTCAAGTAAAAAATTAAACAGAATAAAATATTTGTTTCATTTTTTAAAGCCATGCTATATACAGAACCTTGTTGAATTAATGTACTGTTATTTAAAAACACATTTTTTTTATTATATGCAGTATTATTTATTTTCTTACTGAAAGAAGATACAAACATAACATTTTACATTAAAAAATTAAATAATGTTGCTCTGTGTGGTCTTGTTAAATTTATTACACACATATTTCTTTTCAATGCAGACTGTGTGAACAGCATGATTTCAATTTACACAGCATTTTCAGGGAAACTATCTATACATACATTACATATAATGAAAGGCATATTAGACAATTAATATTACTAATCGGTGTGTACAAAATGCTAAGTTTAAAATAATATTAAAGTCTGTATTGGCATAGTAAGAAAATTTGTGGTTCTATGGGTAATAATAACCCAAACAAACTGTAAGCTCTCTCTCTTCAAATGACTAAAGTCACTGTTCAACTGGACAAGAAGAATTAAGGTTATAAAACAAGTTTTGAAACTAATTTTGCCATATTTCAATGAAGAAATCTCCAGTTCACAGAACGGCAAAGGAAGTGACAGCTCCCCCTATGGATTTGCCCAGAGCACTTCAGGTATACTCAAATTCCTTTATTTCAGATAAGCACACGTATCATACTTTGGTCTGTCTTCTTGAACATCTGAAAAATAGTGGAACTGTTTTGTTAACTTACAAAGCAGATGTAGATAACAATGTCATTTTGGATGGCATATATGTCCATACACTGATTTTATGTATGCCAAATGCCAATTTTATGTATGTTTATTTTATGTATGCCCACCCATTTCTGAGATAATGTTAAGTTTTATGCATAAATATTTAGTTTTTCTACTAACTCTAATAAGAAGGTATCAATTATTATTTCCACAGATTGAACATCAATTCATTAGCGAAATGAACTTTGGTGCCATGTTCCACAATCCAATTTCTATAGCAAAGAGACATATGGCATTAGCTTATAAAAGGCTACTAAGGTTAAAGGAAACTGTGAACAGATCGAGTTGACACACTGCATACATTTACCAGGAAAAGTTTCCTTTAAAGCTTTGTAACAATTTACCAAATATTTTGATGGCCTGTTAACACATAACAGTCAATTTTTACTGTAACTGTCCTCAAATGCCAAAGATTGTGCCTATTTTAAATGCATCACATACACATAGCCCTTAACTTAATGATGACTACATTTCAGAGGTCCTAATATAAGTCGATTCTAACATACAAATTGAGTTAATACACTGCATTCACCATTCTTCATGAAAAGTTTTCTTAAAAGATTTGTAACCGTTTACCAAATATTTTGATGGCCTGTTGACACATAACAATTTCTACTGTAATTGTTTTTAATTACCTATGATTGTGCCTATTTTAAATGCATCACATACACGTAGTCTTTGATTTAATGATGACTATATTTCAGAGGTCCTAATATAAGTGGATACTCACATAAGTCAGGAACTTATGATGTCTTTAATTAAAAATAACAAGCGAATAAGTGTCGCCGATTTCAATGATTTGTCGCATCTAGAAGTACAGTGGTACCTTGGAAAACATCAATCTGTTCTAAATCCTTGGACATATACCAAACGAACGTTTCCAATAAGAAATAAAGGAAAAAATAATTAATCCATTCTTAAAAAAAAAATCAATTGTTATCATTAACATTGCTTAATATTAAAGTGCAAATGCAAATATATACTATATGTAAATGAAGCACTACACATGATACTATACATAAATGCTTTTTCTGCTACCCTGATCAAAAGTAATTTTTCACCATGCCCTAACATCTCTCATTGGTAATCGATTTCACCCAGTTCGCAATCTTATCCATTTAATAGCATTTTCGCTTTTCATGACTGTTAACACCACTGTATTCAGCATATGCAATAGCCAAGTCCCTGATATGCCCATCTTCATATGTTTCAATGTCTTTTCTCACCTACATGGTGATCCTAATAATTTTCTTTCTTGCTTGACTCTTCTCAACTTTCCTAAAATTCACTGTTAATAAATTTACAAAACATTTACATGAAAAACACAAAATTACTTGAGGAGTAAATTCAGAGTAATAGCACAGGTTGTTTATTAAACAGTATTAACACGCGTATTGATGTTCAATCTTGAAAGAGGTAAACAAGTGCAGTGCGAAGCAATCATCACTCACAAAATATGAGTGTATTCTGAAAAAATATCGCATATCAAACAAAATTTTTTCATTCAGACAGGATGTAAAATAGTTGGACATACTCCAAGTGGATGCATATCGAAGTACCACTAAAGTTTCTTTAATCAGATAATTTGTGCACGTTTTTGTTTGGATTTTTTTCTTCATATACTTTGCAATAACATCTGCTTGCTTTTTGAGTTTGCATTTCATCTTTGGTGACACTATCAGTTTTTGGATCTATATTTTCAAGCAGCTGAAATCCCTTATATAATTTAGAAAATGCCTCAGATAACCCTTTGATAGTATATTGTTTTGATGATTTTCCTTCTACATTTTCCTCCTTATTTTTTTGTCTATCTATAACTACTTCATTCTGGAAATTAATCAAACCATCACCAATCACTTTGCATTCTTGATCATTTTTCTACATTTCCATATCAATGTCTAAATCCAACATACAGGCTATTTTGACCATTTCCCAACTTATACCAAGATATACGTTCACTCCACTCTTTCAGAGTTTTTAGCAGTAGCAACATTTTCTGAATTCCTCACATACAGCATTCAGACTTCTCTCCATGAAGTTTCAATATTCTGAATACACTGACCAATCATACTTTTCCCCAAATATGCCATAATTCATCATGCCTATCTTGCTGATATTTTAAGTCTCCAAAGTATTCTACTACTTATCACAGAAAGCAAATAATTAAAAATAACTGCAACGGTCACAAAATAGATGTAGATTCAGTGATGGTCATCTGCATTTTGAAAAAGAATGATGAAGGTGTGTGTGCATATCTAGTGGGTAAACTTACAAGATTTCTTAATCTCGGATGTTTGCTGTTGTGAAAATTGTATCATCGTTAAATCTGGACATTGTTGTAAAGCAACTACCTGCATTCAGGAATTTCATTCTACAATAAGAAAATAATTCCTTGTTGCACCTATTGCTATCTGCTATACTATGTCCAGACTACCAACAGCTTTCTATGCAGAATATTCAAGGAAATTGAATCAAAGATCTTAAAAAAAAACATGGAAAAAAAAAAGAAAACTTCCATATTATGCTAGTTTTTGAGTTAAATACCATAACAACATAAATGCTAATGTGAATACTGATGTGCAAGGTCTGATAGTTTTCACATTGTGAGGTGAGATGACAGATTTGCGTCATTTCACCAGAGTTAAATGCTCCCTTTATTATTTTAAGCAATTTATTAGATGAAAGCCTGATTATAGTATATTTTATACAGAAAAAAATAATAATTATACAAAAAACTGCAAATAATGTTTAGATCATAAATACATATGTAAATACTATACAACTATGAAAAAAATTTACAATTAGAAAAACTAACATCCAATATCAATACTTCATTTGTTCTCATTATATCTCATATTATGAACTTTCAATATTTTTAAACAACTGCTATGCTATTAGGAGTTTATCACAATCACTGATAGTATCTTAGATTGTAAAGAAGTCACTGTTGCTAACCAGGAGCAAGCAAAATTAAAATTCAGAGGTCACAAGGATTATATACTCATCAATCAGGATGCTGTAAGACTTCAGCAGAAATACTACACTTATGCATTTAGCAATGCAAATGGTCTAAAATTACTCAAAATTATTCACACAGTCTTTAAAATTATTGCAGGGGTAATTGTGACCCCATTTAAAAAATCCTGGAAACTAACTATGGAGCAAATATGACATAATTTTCAAATATTTATATTGAGCAAAAATATTATGAAACAAAATTAATTTGCATTTGGCAACATTATTTCAAACAGTTGCACACCTTATGGGTTCTGAACACATAAAAAAATAACTGTTGCTTTAATAACACACAACACATAAAAAAATAAATATATACACACACACATAAAAAATAACTGAACACATAAAAAATAAGTTGCTTTCCTTTTGGTTGCAGTTTAATTTCTTAATGTTGCATTAATATTTTTCTTTGCTAACAATTGGAAGTTTAGTAAGAAATTCTGACATTTTTGGCTTTTCACTTAATCTAGTAGATATTAGACTAGAACGTGAAATATTAACAGATACTGGAGGTGAGAGATTACAAGAAGGAAGAGAATGGTTCAATGATTTGGTAAGCTGTCCAACAAGCATTGTCATTATATCACTCTAAATTCAGCAAGGGATCAGTTTTACTAATATTAGATATTTCTACTTTTTATATCATTTTAGTCTGAATACTTCAAATCTTGCCCAACATATTTCACCTAAAAGTTTTTAATTTATGTTATCTACATGTACATAATATTTTTTAATTTCAATAAACTATATTTAAGTTACAAAAATGTCATGCCTATGGCGAGAACAGAAATTAAAGCTAAAATTTAATACATCAGAACATTTCAATGTTATTAAGCATACAGTAATATTTTTAAATTAATATAATTTCAAACATTAAAAAAATCTTACCATCACTCCAATTAATAACAGTCTCAAGACATGCCATTTGCTCATTGTTTACTTCTTCAGGGAAATAGGCAAGTAAAACCAATGTATCAATAGCTGATGCTGTAACCTGTTGTTCTTTAGGAACTAGCTCAGCAAATTCAAGTAATTTCGCTCTTAATCCAACAACATTCACATTCAGATATATTATATAATTCTTTGCAGGAAAGTATTCTACAGGCATTGGCATTTCTGGAAAAGCTTAGGGTTAAATTAATTAATTTCTTGTAAGTTAATTTTAAAAGGAAGCTACCAGTGTTAGTCTGATATTATGGTCTACAAAGTCAAATAAATGAGAAAGCAAAAATTTATATTTCCTAAAGAATTCATAACATTCTAAGAATTTAATTAAGAGAGTATAATAATGCTAAATTAGTATCTAATTTCACTACACATAAAAAACATTTCATTAGATATACAGGGTTGTCCAAGATAAATCAAATCAAGGAATATAAAGGAGCACATGAACTATACATTGATATTATAGCTCAACCAAACTGAACATGACAGACTTCACTTGCTTTGGGTTTGGTTTATCTTGGGGTCACCCAATATAAGTTCCATACCACTGTTACCATCACCTAGTAACACAACAGTCAAACCTTACTAGAAGTAACTAAATTTAGACAATTAACAAAAGGGCTATCTGCCTAAACTTCACTCTTCCCCTAACACCATCTTTTCAACAGGATTTTTAGATTGATAGATTTGAATTGCTCCCAAACTGCAAAGACATTACAGTCACAAATATCTGTCTCAACAGAGATTTGAACTTAGACCCAACAATGTAGGAAACAGTCAGCAATAGCCCCCCGTACTGTTTGGGACAATGAAATCTAGCTAGAAGTAACATTCAATCATAATTACCCACATCAGAATTCATTTGAAATCCCATAAACAACAGAATTAAAATGTTATTTCCAATAGTTTTTTAGGACAGAACTTCAGTGTTTTTAAAATTTGATTAAACAGCATCCTCTAAAAATTCACATCATAAATACATATAATTAATGGATCAAAATAATGTAAAGACTCACAAATACAATTTAAGCTTTCTCAACCACAAGAATTGCTTTGAAAAGACAAAAATTTAAAGTCAGTTTAGAAACATTTTGGCCCCATGTTTTTCGGAAAATGCTTTGCAAAGGACTTTTTTCATATTACATGTGTGTGGGGAGGAGAAATTTCCTGGAATTCGCATGTCCATTCTCCGATGAAACTTAGTAATTAGTGGTCCTCACACACTTCTTAGACGCATGATATGCAGCTCATTACAAAAATATCCTGCAACATACAGATAAGCTAGCAGTAATACATTACAGTTAGGCAAACCTTTGCGTGGCATTACTTTTATAGTAGAATCTGATATACATATTCCTTCAAGACGAACAGCATTCTCTTTTAAGGCCAGTGTGCATTATGTTGAAACAGATAAAGCTACTTTTTTAACATTTATGTCAATCTAATCTAGTTAAAACCCAAATCGTTATGCTTCTTGAGCATCGGTGATGAGCAGGACTATAAGAAACAATGAAAACTCGACAAAAACATAAATGTCAAGTAAACTATAAGACGATATGCAGAACAGGTATTCATAATAGGCAAATTTACTGAATGCAGTGAATATATGTATTTTTAATTTCTTTTGCCTTAAAGTTGAGAAATGGGAAGAAATGCTGCATGCTTGAAAGCATGCCTTCTGAAGAAACTTTTCAATGGAAATTCATTATTACATCATTCATCGTACACACATTTCATGAAACACCATTTAACATGAACATTTGGGAATTTTTGGTTCATTTATGATTCCAGATTTTCACTGTAACATTCAACCTCTCAGTAGTATATAAAGAATACAATATAAAAGAATAAAATTCACAGCATTCAAAAAATGAGTGGTATGCTAACATTCATGAGTAAAATCATTACCAAGAAAGGCATGAGTGATTTCATGGATGTAGAAATGTGTTCTCTCTGGCTTCATTATCTGATATAGAAGCAGATACTGCTATGTTTTCAAAATATCCCAGAGAAGGCTAGGCCTTTACACAGATTTACAAGAGAAGACTGGCATCTGAACAACAAGGAGTTTCAAAATGTTAACAGCTGTATCCATTCCGATATGCCTAGCATAAGGTCATGTACACTAGATTACATAATGAGAGATAACACTCACACCGATAACTCATTAAATGACCCCACCATCCTCAGGTTCCAACATCAAGAAAGCAGTTGTCAGAAAACAGCCTTTCTGCTTCCAGTCATCTACCTCTAACATAGACTCTACCACTAGAGACCTAAATTAGCTGTCCCAAGAACCTTTTTATTCAGAAAGCGTTCTTTCAGCTTGTTTTCATATTCAACAGGCTAATTTTCATATAATTTATATCCGAGTAACCAGTGCTGTGTGATATTTCATTTATAAAACAACACTGTGTAACGCATGCGTATAATAAATACTGTAGTTTCTAATTCAGAAGTCAAACAACAAAAATCAGCATTATATTTACAAAATTTTCACAGGACTAGTTTCGATGGTTTTACCGAACCACCATCCTCAGCTGCAAAACAGCTCATTTGCGGTTGAAAATTCATTCAACAATAGTGACTGTTAAGATCTTAAATACAGTCGCACGCTAATGCAAGTTAAATTTTAAATTTCTTGCAAATACAGCACCAGCCACTACAATCACTGTCCACAGAAAAGTATTTATTTTAAGTTATCAAAATTACAGACATTATCAAGTTTTAAAACAATGTATGGATTTTCAAAATAGCATTAATCACCAAAAACCATGCGGCTGCATGTTCTGTCTCTCAGAAAATGTTCATGTAGCATATCTGTCACAGCAAAGTTCCTGCCATTTGGCTATGACACTTTTTCTCAGTGGTGGGGAAGGTTAATTCCTTACATTGCATCACTAGATTACAAAGTGATTAGTTTTCTTCCTTGTCAACTTCATATCCCCATTACACTTCAGGGGGAAAAAAATCAGATTCAGACACAACATTATGGAACTGTATTAAGACTTTTGACCTCAATTTTACTATTTTCGATTTCCATAACATTTGGCCAAAAAATTAATTACATTTCTCTCTTCTATGGCATCCCCAAACGTCTTACTATTGTATGGCCTTCTGTGTTTCCCCTTATCTTTAATTTTTTGTAAAGTGGCAACACGAAAAGACTGTTCGAAAGATAAACATTCATCGGAATTTTGTTTTCAAAAGGCTATTTGATATTTGTTCCTATCCTGTTTTCTTTTTAATAAAATTGTTTAAAGAAGTTTGTTCTTTATAGCATATAAATAATACTTCAGATCTTATACAACACACTTCACTGCCGACTACCGAACACGTTACTGAGGAATTGAAAATGAAAAACAAAAGCAAGAGCTAAGTAATTTAAAGATGTGTTAAATATTTTGAACTTGTAATTGAAATGTAAATATGAAAAAAAAATTAAGCAATGTATATGAAAACTGTCAAAGTTATATTAATAACTACCGAACTACTGACTACCGAACACGTTACTGAGGAATTGAAAATGGAAAACAAAAGCAAGAGCTAAGTGATTTAAAGATGTGTTAAATATTTTGAACTTGTAATTGAAATGTAAATATGAAAAAAAGTTAAGCAATGTATATGAAAACTGTCAAAGTTATATTAATTATTTCAAAATTAGATATTAGACTTCTCCAGACATTGTTAAAAGAGCGATATCTAACTCACTATATCAGACAATTTTAATCATAAGACAAATGATCATAATATGCATGACACATTTTTTAATCGCATCTAATGACCAATGTATTAATATCTTTATTCTGCTTAATTTCCTGCAAATTTTATAAGTTTCTACTGGTTCTTAAAAAAAAGTAATGAGATATGATACTCGTGTTACAGCTGCTCTGCTTATGTTAACGTAAAAATACTCTCCGAATGTACCTTTCTTAATTTAAAAAAATGGCAAACGAAGGTGAAACAAAAGCGACACTTCGACATTGATCGCTAGAATTAGCATTAAAGTTCCAGCGTTTTGGAAACCGGATCCAAAGATATGTTTTTTCCAATTGGAAGCTCAATTTCAAAATGCTGCAATTACGAACAGATCAAATGAAATACGAATATGTTGCGAGTTCTACTGATGCTGAAATATTATCAGAAGTGTCGGACATTCTGATTAGTCCCCCAAGGGACAAGTATGCGGCTATTAAAGACAGATTAATTTCCATCTCCACCAAAACACAAAAGACACAAAAATTATTAAATGAGGTACAATTGGGTGATAGAAAACCTTCACAGTTCTTATGCGAAATGAAGAATTTAGCTTCAGATAAGGTAGGTGAAGCTTTCCATAAAACACTCTGGCTTCAATGATTACCCAAGGCAATCTTGAGTATTTTATCCATCAGTGGCGATGATTTAGCCAAATTGGCGACAATGGCCACTAAAATGTGGGAAGTACAATCAGCATCACATCAGAATGCTGCTGTATCTTGCTTTAGAGATTACAATGTTTTAGTTAAATTACAAGAGCAGATTTTAGAGTTATCTCTACAAGTTAGCAAACTGTCAAAAGAATTTCAAATGATAAACTGAAACCATGTTTTACCATGAAAGACAATGATAAGCAGCCTCTTGAAACCCACAGGCACATGGGTTATCGTGCGGCCCTTACGGGAAATTTTCACCGCCGGTCAATCACAACCATACCACACGCGGTGGAAGGACCATCAGGTTTCCACCTCATTTAAAAGATTATGTCTCCTAATCGTTTTCACTGGGAAGGGAGTATGTAGAACCCTCTATGTTTCCACTTCATCTTACCTTTAATTTCTGTACGTTTTAATTTTTCGTAAAGTGGCAACACGAAAAGACTGTTCGAAAGAAAAACATTCATTGAAATTTGGTTTTCAAAAGGCTACTTGATATTTCTTCCTGTCCTGTTTTCTCGTTAATAAAGTTGTTTGTTCTTTATAGTATATTAATAATACTTCAGATCTTATGCAACGCATTTCACTATTTAAAGAACCCTTATTTTCACCACAATTTCTCAAAAAACACATGCATCACATTTTGCGTTTAGCAATACATTTGCTCCATTTAGGAAATTTTTGTTCTTCTAATATTTCCATATTTTACTCAAAACTTTTAGATTTTTTTTTTTTTTTTTGATAACAGTATAATTTTCCCCCCTTTTTTTGGCCAACAGTAATTAATTCTTTGCTTAAGCTTATACAGCATGCCTTTAGCCAAAATGACAAGCACTGTTTTAACTGAAAATTAGAATATTCAAAATTAGTTATTTAGTAAAATTTGGCTGTTTCACTTTAGTTCTTATTGTATAAACAATATTTTTTTTTTAAAGTCGAGAGATTTTTAATTTTTTACATTAATGTACATTTTGTATTATTTTTTTATTTTTAATTTTTATTTTTTTAAGGACTGAATTCGCATTGGAGAGTAACTATTTTTGTACAATAAAAAACTGGGATTATTCAATTTTTGTTTTTACCCCAAAATAGTCAAGAACAAAATTTGTATTCAGCACTCATTATTTATTCATGTTTAATGTTACCCCTCTGATAAGTCTGAGTCATCAATCTATGAATATTTAATATGCAGATTTAAATTAAATGTATAAAATATTAAATAAGTTTTTTAAATTTTTTAATTACATATTTTTTGTTTTCTTAATTTAATTTTGCAATTAAAATGTTTCTTAAACTTTCCAGGATAGTATAATAACTATGGTAAACATATTTTAATTGGTAAACCATATATACATTATCTACCAACAAGTATTTGCACACCCATGCAAATGCCGATATCTGAGGTTCTGATATTCATCATGGCCCCCAACCATTAAATATCATGTAGGAAACAACATTGGCATTAGTGGTATGCAAGATGCAACGAAATGCAGAGTTAAATGATTTTGAGAAAGATGTAATTGTCAAGTATCACAAAAATGGCTGATCTTTAAGGGGCATATCTAGTTAGCTGAATTAGCCAAATTCGACAACGGCGTATGTGATTCAGAAGTGTTCGGCGAGCGGTGATTATCGGAATGTGCTTTGAGACAGCAGACCTGCGAAACTGGGAAATAGGGATTGACAGGTGCTGTCCAGAGAAATTTGATAGAACTGCACCCAACCAATGGCCCCCATACTCCAGGAGTTTCAACAGCAAACAGAAGTGTTGTTTTGATGAATACCACCTGGTTTCCATACCAGAAAGCACATGTGCTTAGTTTTCATGAATGTGCTGCTGCCCATAAGCTTTTGATCAAAAAGTTCAACCGAGCAGCTCGGTTAATGTGGTGCAAAGCATGTTGACAGTGGAAACGAGTTCTCTGGAGCAATGAATCAAGATTTACGCACTACCATTCAGATGGCAGGATCTCGGTCTGGCATCTGTCTGAAGAATGCCTCCTGCTGGAATGCATTGTGCCCACAGTAAAGTTTGGCAAAGGAGGGATTATGATCTGGAAGTGTTTCTCCTGGTATGGATTGAACCCTTGGTTGAAATTTATGGTAAACTGAACACTGACACCTACTGCAATGTTTCAGGTCACAGTGTGCTTCATACGCTGTGGCAGTTTTACAGGTTGGATCCATGTTACTTTCAGGGCAACATTGCCAGCTGTCATCATGCTAGGTCCATCATGGATTGTTATGATAACAATGGGGTTAACCAAATGGACTAACCTGCCCAAAGCCCAGACCTGAAACTCTAGAAGGAGTTGGATCGCCGAATTAAGGGGTGCAACAGCTGTTAAATATCAGTGAAGACAACTGACATGTCTTATCCAAGCCGAGTGGATGAAAGTTCCAGACTCGTAGAAAGCATGCCCCAGAGGGTTGAGGTCCCAAGAATAACTGACACTCATGGAGACTCTACCAACTATTGAATCATATATTTATTTTCTATCACAAGTGTCCAACTACTTATCAGTAGATAGTGTATATATATAACACTGTCACAAAAAATACACCGAAGAAATCAAGCCACAATCACAAAACTTGGCAGGAATGTGGTCAAGAGATATACAAATGATTTAAATTTCGATACCAATAAGATGAGCGTAAGCATGTTATGTGCATATAAGATCAGTAGCTGGGAGAGTCTGAAAGCATGAATGCTCATGCCATAAGGCTATTCAAATGCCTTGTACTATTCAAATGTTGACTTGGATTGATGGTATTGTGACTATAGATGCCTCTGAGATGTAACCGGTGATGATAGGGACAATAGCTGGACTTTGAGAAGAGTCATATAGCAGACCTTAGAGAAACAGATTGGTCAAACAGGGGATCAGCTGACACCTCAGTCGGGGCAATATGTTATTTGCTCGGCGTTGGTGACTATCGATTACGGAAGGGACAGCGCATCCCAGGAAAACAAATGAACGCGAGGATCTCGCAGTCATAAGAGTGGCCACTTCCTTACCAACGTTGCTAGCATCAATTCGATGCCATTTAACACCTTACAGGCATCCATTGGTATCAATGGAAACAATTCAGAGATTAACTGGCCGAAACTGGTATATGCTGCCAATGTCCATTAAGATGGCTACCATTGGCCCCACATCATAGGCAGTGTCGAATGGATTTTTGCCAAATTTGGGCAAGCTGGAATGTAACTGACTACAAGTGTGTCACCTTCAGCGATGAATCTCAATTCAGTCTCAGTGCTGATAACTAAAGCACACGTGTGGAGGTGGCCAGGCCAGTGGTCCGATACAGCATACAGGAATTACACACAGTGTAGGGAGAGATTTCTTGGGGCACATGATCACTTCTAGTCATCATTCAAGGCACTATGACAACTTGAGTTACGTAGACAATATTTTAACACCAGTTGTACTGCCTATCCTATGAAGTCGTCCAGGTGTCATTTATCAGCAAGCCAATGCTCATCCACATACTGAGCAACTCTCTCAACAATGTCTTCAAGGATATCATGTACTTCTGCGGCCTGCCAGGTCACCAGATCTCTCACCAATATGGCACGTCTGGGACATGCTTGGAAGGCAACTGCAGTAATCCTGGAATATTCATGAATTAACTGCCCAGTTGCAAAGATTACGGCCCGATCTTCTTCAGGGGATAGAGGTGACGTACTTGATTCAATGTTACACCATGTTTTGGCTTGTATAGCTGCCAGAAGTGGCTATACTACTTACTAATTTGTAACTTTTTTTATGCCATAACTTCTTAATAAAACGATCTTTTATTCTTAATTTGTAACCATTTGTTTATCTCCTCATACACTACATGCATGTTAAGTTTTGTGATAGTAGTTTGTTTGCTTCTGAATACATAAGTATACATAGATATATAATATACACACATATATACATACCTGTGTTTTTCATCAAATAATCTGCAATCTGACTAACATGATCTGGAAGCAAATTATGCTCTGCTACAAAGTTTTGGGCAACAGTCCACGGGTTTTCACCTCTATTATAAGCCAGTTTGTACATAACTCCTTCTACATCTACATTGAACTCGTAATCCTTCTTCTAAACAAAGAAAAGAATACAAAGCTTAATGACTAGATTACTTTTTATTGATTTTTTTACAGAAATTTTATTACATAAAGATTAAAAACTACATATAAAAAGCAAATAAGCTATGATTAAAAAAAAAAACATTTTATACTTAATGCAGCTATAATGAATGTAATTTGAGCTCTTAAATCAGAAAAATTCATTTTTCAGCAACAACAAAGTCAGAAACCACATTAATTCGACTTTCTAAAAATATTATGAAAAACCTTACACCATCAATTTAAACTCTCTTTCAAATACAACATGCATAGTTGTAAACTTTCACATAGGAAAAATTGTGACGTCTTTGAGCCAAAAGCCAGGATTTTTAGGCAAGTTTTGGGCTGCATAGCAACCTTTTCAAGAGAAATCCAAATAGATCTAAATTCGATTTATGAGATATAAACTAAGATTAGTAAATTATTTACAACATGATTCTGATGTGAAACATTAATATTGAATTAGGTATTCTAAATTTATGTTCTTATATGCAGCATATCACCTTTTAAACCTGAAATGATTACTTGATAATTTTTATGGCTGCTTATTGTATGATTAGTTACGCTCTTGAACATCAGTGGTTTCCACTTCAATCTCTTTGCTTACCAGCAAACTGGCTGCTAGAACACTGGTTAAGCATTTCTCCCTTAACAAACTGACTTAAAAATCCTTTGAGAACTGATATTGCAAAAACTGTAGAATATCAGTAAATATCGAATGAATTAACAAAAAAAAATTAATTCTATCAAATCAAATATCAGAATTCTTCAAGATAGTTCATTTCATATACATGTCAACACTGTTTGTATGCATAAACAAGAAAGTTACGTAATGTCTAGCTATAGTAACGGTGACTGGGCCTTACGAGATTTCATCATTTACAGCAACACTACCAGGAAAATTCAGAATTTAGTTATCCTATTTTAAAAACACTGAGACCTATGAGATAGTAACAAAGATAAAAAGCTTTACTGTTTTGGAATGAAATGCCATTATACTGTATATGTGACTACGATAATTCGATATGGCTAAAATGTCCAAAACGGAACCCCCCCTTTTTTGTGAAATAAGAGTTTTCTCCAGAAGCAAAATGGGGATGGAAAACATCTCAAACAAAATAATCTTCACATTCAGATTGTGATATTCTAATTCAAGTAAGAAATAAAAACAAGGAAACCAAATATGTTATCAAATAAGTTGGTCTACATATTGCAGGTATAAATGGCCATTTTCAGTCATGAACAACATTACGAGCCTTGCTTCTGTATGCCAAATGCCAACAAAATGCAGTGCATGTTGCACGACAGTACAGTTTTCGATTTTCAGATTTTCATCCAAGAGCAAACACCATCACTAAAAAAGTTTGACAATTGCAGAAACAAAGTATTACAAGACATACTCACTCCCAGCAGACCAGTAGATGCAACAGCAAAAGTTTGGTTGTATACATTAGTCCATCTGAAAAGCAGAATCATGCCATAAAGCTTATCACACACGTGTATATGGCTCATACTACAACAGCACTGTATCCTTCCTTCATAAGTTACTTCACAGCAAGAACTATAGCCACAAGACAATGAGCAACAAATTCACTGGTGTAGCTGGCCCATGAACAAAAATGAGGATGAGGCAGCCTTTTTTTCCTATCATACTTCAGATCGACAAGGAGATATTCCAAATTAATAAGTTCTTAAACTGACAAAACAGTCATTACTGAAGTTTGAAGAATTCTTCATGGTGGCAAATCATTAGGCATCAGTACACAGATCTAGTAACTTCTAGTAGGATACGTAAAATAACTACTTACTGGGACCTATGTTTCACAAAGATATATAACTGGACAGATACCTCCAGCTCTGATACAAAATCATACTTGAAATTTTAGATGACACTGCTCTGCCAAATTATATTCCCTGCAGTCCCAACATGCTGTCCTAGCACATCAGTCAGGTTCCTAGACAGTTATGCTTTTTAGCAGATCATTTGAAGAACACAGCAGTAGCTATGATGCCACAGTTGAATGGCCTCCATGATCTCCAATCCTCACTCCGGTGGACTGCTTCCAGGGTTACATAAAAGATCAATCAAGTGCAACACCTTATAGCAGTGGTCTCAAACTGGCCGCCCTCGAAGCAATTTCATGCAGTCCACGAAGACATTTCTATTATGAAATTGTTGCAATTACAGTGTCAGAAATATTTCAAGTATTTGAGTCCAAGTCTTCTTTGTTTTCATTACCATTGAAAAATAACATGAATAAGGCATCAGAAAATCTGTAAATGGAGATAGCTAATTTACAGTGAACTACATATATCATAGTTAAAAATTTGAAGATACAAATTTCATTAACTTTTATTCATAATTGTCAAAAAATAAATAAGCTTCCAGTTATGAATTTTTGCTCTTTTACATGTGAACAGCTTTTTTTTCAGTTGAAAATTCATAAGAAAAAAAATCTCATTGACCAATGAGAATACACAATATGTGATGAGGATAATTTGTAGGAAATTTTCTCCGAGGCTATAAACTTTATCACAATCAAAAAGGCATCAAAGTGTCAACCAGTAGTAAGAAATAAAAGAAATGTATAATTATTTAGATTTATGTGAAGAAAAATGTTAAGCTGTCATCATCTATTCCTAAGTTCTCTCCTACTTGGAAACTTTTCTACTTAAAAAATTTAACATTTTCACAACTTCTTTAATTTTAAATTAAATTAGTTATTTAATGATTAATTAAATATGCTAGAACTATTTTAAATAAATGTCAATCTGAAAATTTAATAATTTAGTTGTCAATAGCTTACAGTTATAAAGTGTAAGCAATAAAAATATCTTAAAGGTACCAAACTTTACATTTCAGATCAAAATTAAATACAAGTTCAAATTTTTTTTCTTTGCAGTATTAATGTTTATATTTTGATAAATACTTAGGAAGTGAAATTTAAAATATATATAAAGTTTGTTTTTATTTTATTAATGAAAATTTTAATTTTGGTAATTAAAAATTTATTTAAAAAATTCTGACCCCTCAGTTCTTTTTAGATCATACATGAGGTCCACAGGCAACTTGAGTTTGAGACTACTGTCTTAGTCTCCAGGCTCTACATTCTTATGCTGTTGATACATAAGGAAGTGTAACATCTATATTGATGAATACACATGCAAAGATACCTTCTCAAATGCCTACATGTGTCCAAGGGTCTCTTCGAACAAGTTCGACATTAATTTATAACCAATGAAAGTAGACCTATATGTTTTATTTTACGTTAATGACATCAATCTGTACTGGCATGATGAGTACTGTTTATCCACAAAACTATATTTTTGTACTCATAATTGCATCTTCATTCTTCTAACACTGTAACAAAATGTCACACATCAGTTTTGGCCACTTTAAATAGTAGTAGAGATTATTTATTATAGCGTAGTACACAGCACCTGATTAATGCATAAGCCCATGAGGACAACATAAGACTCTATATTTTAGGGAGCTTCAAAATCATCCTGTGTAACTGCTTAAACCCTGAATATCTCTTATAAAAAACAAGCACTGAAGGCTTTTTACAGAGCTCGGCATTTAGGGTCCCAGACCTCTTAATTACTATACACTAGAGGTCTTCCACCTCTCATGCCCGAGGGTCAAATCAATAAATTCACAAAGATCCGTGTGCCACATGTCTGTCAAAAAAATAGTTTAGTTAGAAAATTTATATAAAAAAGCGAGGTTTGTTTTGCAAGACTACAAGTGATTCTAAGCAAAGGGATAGTGTTATAGATTTGTATATATATGCATTGGTTCCAAAAAGTCAAATGTCAATCAAATTAAAATGTTTTGCAACTTTTTTTTTAACTATGAAAAAAGATTGCACAGAATGATGTTACAAAATGCATTTACAATAAAAAAATAAAACTTACATTACAGGCAGAAGATGGTAGTTCCTTTAGTTTTAATGTGAAATTTGACATTGTTTTTGCTTGATTAAAGCTTCAATATCCGGTTTAATCTGTGTTGGTGCAATTCATAAAGTTTCCTCCAAATGTCTGCCTTTCAGCTGTGTTCTTGTTTTTGATTTTAGGATTTTCATTTTACTAAAAAGCAGTTCCCATATATGCAAGTGCTGCCAAAGATAGAGGACATGAAGCATGCATGTTTACAAATCCTGGATACTTGTCTTCGGTCACGTACTTCGAATAAAAAATAAATTAATGTAGGATTTTCTAGAAACTTGCATTTTACTGCAGAGTCACACTGTAAATCTATAAATTCTAATTGAAGTTTAGGTGGAATACTTCCAACATCTACTGAAAATGGTGAGGAGAACATTCTCATAAAATTTCATTTTCACAAAATTGGAAAATCTGCTTTTGATTTCCTCTTTCAAATTTGAAATTGTAAATAATTATTTGAATTCCATGTTGTAGAGTTCTTCACACTCCATGAATTTTGAATAGTGAGTGGAATTCTTATTTAGCAACTGACTTTCCCACATGATTAATTTTATCTTGAAAGCTTTCACAAAGTAATAAAGATTATGAACAAGTAGATCTTTTCCCAGTATGCAGTAGTTAGAGGTCATTGAGATGACCTGTAACATTGACAAGAAATGCAAAGTCTCTAATAAACTCATGAATAGATTTCCCTTTACATTCCATGAATTGTTGAGCTTTGCTCTTCAAGAAAAACGGGCGCTGAAGCATCTTTCCTCGGCTCAACCAACATACTTCCATGTAATACACAACATCACCATATCCACTTTCCAAATCCCTCAAGAACTGATGAAATTGCCTGTGATTAAATCCTTTAGACTGAATGAAATTAACCATTTTTACAACAACATTCATCAAATGTTCAAAGTTTGAGAAGAATTTCTTGAAAAAATTTTCTTGGTGAATGAAGCAGAGGAAAGTCATCACAGTATTATTTCCACTTGCCTTCACATCAGATTTGAGTAAAGTTGTTACTCCTATTTT